AGGGCTCTGACAATTCCAGGCTTTTACAGTAGAGACTGTTGCTTTACGCCTTTACCCTCCAGACAAGCACAAATTAAGAGTGGTCATGAATGGTTGCGATGAACGTGTGGTACCCGATAGACGACTTTTGGAATGTTGCCAATTTTTTTTTTTTTTTTAAAAAACATAACTTTCAATTTTTACATTTTGCACCCGATCTATTATTGATTCTTACATTTTGTTTTTAATATTTTAAATTTTTTTAATTTTTTTCATCTGCAGTTTAGGTATTGACACTTTCAGAGGGTGCTGAAGTGGCATTAACAATATTAATTATGTCGATACAGACAATAACATCATTAATTATATGGTTATATATTAGTTAGTGACTGATGTGTATTTTTTTGTAAAAAAAAAAAATTTTATGAATATTTCTTAATTATTATTATATATATATATATATGTAGGATTTAAGGTTATGAAAAAATATTACGTGTTTATTTTTAAGTTTGTTATAATTTTATATTTCAAAGTCAAGTTTGGGGTTAGATTCAGATCTTTTATTATTTTTTTAATGTATATAAAATATATTATTTATGTTTGGAGTTAGGAAATTTTTTTTTCACTTTCTAATTATTAAAAAAATACTCCCTTGGGTCCTATTTTAAGACATATTCTAGAAGAAATTTTTTGTCTAAAATATAAGATAATTTATAATAATTAAACTATTTTTTAATTTTATTCTTTCTCGATTGGTGTGAGAGTATTTAATTTAGTTGTATCATTATTTAAAGTTAAGAATAAAAATAAAAGTACATATCATTTTTTTATAATATTAAGAAAAAACTAATTTCTCTTAATATGCGAGAAACAATTAAAATATTTTATAATAAAGACCGAATGGAGTACACATAAGCTTTTCTTTCCTTTTTTTCCAAAAAAAAAATACACATCAACTACTAATTGACACGTCACCGTATAATTAATGGTGTTATTATCCACATTAGTATAATTAATACCATTTATGTCACATTAGCAACCCTCTGAAAGTATAGGGATATAAAGTGTAGACGAAAAAAATTGTAGGGACTTAGAATATAAAAAATAAAATGTAAGGATCAATAGCAAATTGTGTGCAAAGTATAAGAATTAAAAGTTATGTTCCTCTCCCCCCTCAGGTTTTTTTTTTTTTTATACTTGGGGATTCTACAATGAAGGGTAATATCACTTCTAAATAATTTTTTTTAGGAGCCAAATCATTTTTTCATTAGACACCTGCATCTTCTTTATTATTTATTATTGCAGGATAGTTGTGGATCCACACATAATAATAACAAGGCATTTTAACCCATTTTGTTGCTGTTTTACTGCTAAAATCAAGCCTTTTGCTATAGTCATTGCAATTTCTAGTCCCTTTGAGCCATGTTAGATGGTCAAAATGGTTCAAGATGCTTTGCTGTCATTGTGCATGGTTGCACAACTATTCTATGTTAATAGATAATAGAGAAGATGATGGTGTCTCTAACGAAAGCACAATTTTGCTCTTAAAAAAATTATTTAGAAAGAATATTGCTTCATCCTTTAATACAAAACGTTCAACTTTTTTAAAAATAGTTTAGGAGGAAAAATAGTCTTTAGTCCTTGAATAATACGTTCTATTAAAAAAATAGTGAAAAACTTTTGGCTCATAACATATAAGATAATTGATTCAAATCTATCAATTAATGTAAAAATTTTATTAGTGAGTGATTTGTAAATATTTTTTTAAATATTTTCTAAGATGAGAGATATAAGTAATTAATTCTAGTAAATTTTTGATATTCGACTCACTTAAAAAAACTTTTTCTCGCTAAAAAAAGTTGTTGTCCTGTCAATGATGTAGGATGCAATAGCGATAGTGGAGAACTGAGTTTTTGCTTTTCTAATATAATTACCATGTATTTATTTTGACCGGAGGGGGTATCTATTTAATACTGCTATCATGTCTTATTGAAAATAAGTTTTAAAATATATATATATATATATATATATATTTTTTTTTTTACTTCTCCGAACACAATTATATTCGTGGAAAAAGATTTTGCCCTATAAGAAATCAAATGAAACCGAAAAGTATCATAGCTTTTTAGCTCTATGGAGGATCAAGAATCCAAGATGGACCCAAACAGCTGTAATTGAAATTAATATTTTTAAAATTAAATTAAATATTGAATCAAAAATGTCAACAATTTATAATTTATATACTCCAATCAAATTGGATTAATGATTGAACTGAAAATAAAATTAAATATTTTAAATTTATCATAATTTAACAAATTACATGATATAGTGCAATATCAAATTATTAAAAAATATTTAATAAAAAATTTAAAAAATGAGTATTTTTTGAACAGTGAGGATTTTAAAAATTGAATCCAACTTTTGGTCTGATTGTTAATTTAAAATGATTCAATCTGCCTCAACTCTTCAAATAATTTTTTCGATTTAATCAATGTCTGGCCGATCTGACTTTCTGTTCCGGTTTTTAATTATTGGTTGTAATGTGCAGAGGAATCTTTTTGTCATTTACTTAAAAGAAAACGTATATATTTTTAATTATTTTATTTGCTTTTTAAGAAAAGTCAATGAAAGTGCCCCGGATTGTTTACGGTCACCGATGTACCTCGCTAGTCGCTACTCATTAGTAGTCTAGGACATGCTTCAGATTACTCCTCCACTTTTTTTTTTTTTAATAAGTCATTAGTATTAACTTTATCAATATTCATATTAAAAAAACAAAAAAAAACAAAAGTATATAAACTTTTAAATATATCTTTATATAATAAATTTTAAAAATAACATCATATTATTTTTTATCATAAAAGATAATTTTAAAAATATATTTTAAATATTACCTAAAAAATCATAATGTGATTTGTAAATGGGATCAAGTAAATCTTCTAGAATGTATTTTATAAATGAAGCTGAAAGGAGTACTTGCTTTCCTCAACTTTTTCGGTCCTTTTTTCAATAGTTAATGTTTTTATTTTTTTTATTTTTTTCCCCTGACCAAATCTTCCAAATCTATAAATCATATTTTAGAAGGTTTATTTACTTTTATTTATAAATTACGTTGTGACTTTTTAGGTAATATTTAAAAAATATTTTTAAAATTACACTTTATGAGAGTAAAATATAATGTAACATTACTTTTTTTATTTGTTATATAAGGATATATTTGAAATTCTACATACTTTTATTTCTTATATTTTTTTTTGCATTAGTATTGATGAGATTGGTAAAAATAACTTGTAAAAAGAATGTGGGAATATGATTACAGCATGCTGATTTCTAAAATGAGATTTAAAATATTTAAATTTAATTAAAATAGTCATAATTTATATTTTTAAATCTTGAATCAGAATTCTGGCAAAAAAAATATTAAATTAGAATTATTTTAAAAAATTAATGATGAAAAGTTTATGCTAACCCGTTGTTACAGTAAACTGGATCCCACATGAATTTCTTTTAATTTTTAAAGAATATTAAGCATTTAATTAAATTCAAATATCATGCAATGCACATGTAACAGGCCAGTTTTTTATAATATAAAAAGAAAATTAAAATTAAAGCTAAGCGATCGTAACTTGAAAGAGTTTAGAGTCAGATAACTTGATTATTTTCTGCTATTGCTTTCTATCTAATCTTTTTCTTGTCTGAAAGATTTTCAAAAGGGTGAAAAGAGAGTTGGAATAATTGAAACTGGGGAATCGGTGACATCGATGTTATATCTTTTTTTTTTTTTTTTTAAATGAGAGTCGTGATATTATGGACTTATATATATATATAAGAATAAATAATTTTTCAATACAACTTGACTCCAAAAAAGAATAACCGATAACGTAACCAGAACAAATGGCTCGACAATTCATGTATAGCCTATTTGTGTGGTGGCCCTTGAGAATCTTTCATACTTTGAAACGTGTTATCATGAGGACCTCTCAGTGATGGAAGGCCAATGATAAGGGGTTCATCTGTAATGCTCATTAGTATCACTCTTCATATAATTTAGACCGTTTAGAATTAATTTAAATGATGAAAATTTAAATTTTTTATTTATTAAAATAAAAATTATAAAATTTTTATAAATTTATTATTACAAACTGGGTCAGTTTAGATTTAATTTTGATGATTTAAATTTAATATTAAAAAATTTATAATTGTTAAAAATTAATTATTCAGATTTACTTTAGTTGGTTTAGATATAAAATTTTTAATTTACATTTTTTAATTTTTTTTAAAAGGCCCAATTAGAATATTATCTTTATTTTTAATATTGTATTTATCAAATAAAAATTTATAAAAATTGTAAATGAATTTAGACTATCTAGAATACACCTGAATAGAAAATTTATGAAAATTATTAAAAAATTTAATATTAAATTAGACCATCTAAATTAAATATGTACCATGCAAATTAGTAATAAACATATTTTTAAATTTTTTTAAATAAATTTCCATTTTACTAAAATAAAAATAAAAAATTTTAAATCTAGACCATCTAATTAAAATCTGTACAAGAAGTGATGAGCACTTGATAACCACTGAAGACGGACCATGACAAGGCTTCCTCTTCATGCAAGTGGCGGAGAATGAATACCTGCCTATATAATTCCGTCTGTACTTTAACTACTTTCCCCCACAACTCACACAATTAAATGCTTACACTCATTATTATTATTATTATTATTATTATTATTATTGTTATTATTAAATTTGTAAACTGTAATCTCACTTTTCCACAGGCGCCATAGCCTATATGAATCCATTTTTTTTGGGCCTCCGTAGGTGTTGCTGAAGCTTTGATATGGGTTTTATGCCGATCCAACACCTTTCATGTCACTCATTTGATTGGAACAATAATGGAAGGTAGAAGACAAACAATGATAAGACCAATTAATTACAAGTTCAAACATCGGCACACGCCAACATTAATTGTTTCCTATATATATATATATATTAATAATTATTGTAACTTTTGGAGAGAATCAGCATTATATACTGTGCACGTCATCACTGCACAATGATCTATATGTACACCATAACCACATGATAGTGTTCAAGATCATATCCTTTGCTTTCCTTTCTCTCTTTCTTTCTTCAGCTCAATCGGTTGGAGAGAAGTTAAGCTACAAAACAAGGTGAGTTTCTCTCTCTCTCTATATATATATATCATAACTTGTTGCTTTATTGACAACCGTAATATTACAGATGAATTCCTCAAGTGTGCTGGAAACGGAAAAGAGGGAAGAAGAAGGAGAAGAAATGGAGGGAGAGAATGATAAAGGTGTGGGACTTGGAGGTGAGCCTCAGAGGATTCAGCCATGGACACAGCAAATAACAGTAAGAGGAGTGTTGGTGAGCGTGGTGATTGGGATTATGTACAGCATAATAGCTATGAAGCTGAATCTCACAACTGGACTGGTTCCGAATCTCAATGTCTCTGCTGCTCTTCTGGCTTTCGTCTTCATGACAAGCTGGACCAAAGTTCTCCACAAGGCTGGCTTTGTTTCTAAGCCTTTTACTCGTCAAGAAAACACAATCATACAGACTTGTGCTGTCGCATGCTATAGCATTTCTGTCGGAGGTCCCACTTATTACCTCTTCTTCTTCTTCCTCCATTTCTGTTTGGTTCCATATATGTATATATATGCCCGTGTGTGTGTGTTTTGGTGTTGCAGGAGGATTTGCTTCTTATTTGCTGGGGTTAAACAGGAAGACATACGAGTTGTCAGGAGGAGGAGGAACAGAGGGAAACAATTCAAGAAGTATCAAAGAACCTGGATTTGGCTGGATGACAGGATATCTTTTTGTTGTTTGCTTTGTTGGTCTCTTTGTCTTGATTCCACTCAGAAAGGTATTGTTTTACTAGTTTTTTAAGAATATTGATTTGTATCTTAGTTCATAAGGAATTAGATAATAATTAATAAGCTCCGAAGTTCACTTCAAAAGCTTGTCACCCTAAGTAAAGTGTGTATGATATGTGAATGACACAAGCTCAATGAATACATGGTAATTCTTATATGTGGTGTTAGATTATCTATATGTATAAGTCATGCCCGAATGAATTAGCCTATTATTACCACTGATGCATTTTTACTAGTAGTGAAAATGCAATTTTAACAGTAGCAAAAATTAGCTTTGTGCACTAGTAACTTCAGAATTAAGTTGGTGTGGCTAAGAAAGAGAACTGCATTTTTACTGTGTAGATCATGATAGTTGACCTCAAATTAACATATCCAAGTGGCCTAGCAACAGCAGTTCTCATCAATGGTTTTCATACCCAAGGGGACAAGATGGCCAAGTACGTACACATCGATCCATTTACTAAGACTTTGTTCATTTGAAATAAATTAAAACTATGGAGACTTGGCCCTTTGTGTGTGAGTGAGAGAGAGAGAGAGAGAGAACTTGTTTGAAAAATGAACAGAGCTAGTTTCCAAGTTTTTTGGAGAACCAGACTCAAATTACCAATTTATAGAGAAAGTGACAAAATATGTATTATGTAACATCGCAGGAACCAAGTGCGTGGGTTCATGAAGTACTTTTCCATCAGTTTCTTGTGGGGTTTCTTTAAGTGGTTCTTCTCAGGGATAGATGAATGTGGATTTGAACAATTTCCAACATTTGGACTCCAAGCATGGAAGCAAACGTATGACTTTTCAACCGACAACCATTAATTGTATTTGTTTGTGATGGAGACTTAACAGAATGAAATATCAAATCTCATATTGAGTAGTAATAATATGAAATGCTCATTGGAACATATATTTAAATGGGTTGGTTCTCTTACCTCAATAGCAAACTTTTGGGATAGGATTCTCTATCTTGTTTGGGTGCCTACTTGGTATCCTTTACTATCAAGTCTCTATCAATTTGCTTACTAGTTGTGTATACATAATAAGTGCATGATGATGAATATATATATATTGCAGATTTTATTTCGATTTTAGCATGACTTATGTGGGAGCAGGGATGATTTGTTCACACATAGTGAATTTGTCTCTGCTTCTCGGTGCTGTGCTCTCTTTTGGTGTGATGTGGCCGCTTATTGATAGGCTTAAAGGAGATTGGTTCCCTCCAACTTCTGAAGAAAGCAATATGAAGGGTTTATATGGCTATAAGGTTGGTTAATTCCCTTCACATGATTACGATCCTAAAGTACATTTTAAGATAGCTTTGATTTTCCATTTACTCGTTTAAGTATTCATTTTCAGGTTTTCTTATCAGTTGCTTTAATCCTCGGTGATGGCATGTATAATTTCATCAAGATACTAATTTCCACCATCCTTAGCATGCTTGATAGAATGAAGAGAAAGAACCTTCAAAACTGTAAGTGTAAGAGCATGCATTAAAAATTGAGTTGGAACTTGCAATGGGTAAATGACAATTGCCCCTAAATTAAAGTTTGGTATCCTAAACTCGTTTTTGGTGTAATATTCCTTTTCCACTTTTGAAAATAGTGCAATATTGCTCCTATTGTTAATAAATGTTAACTTTGACCATTAGTTGACCAAAATTTACAAAAAAAGACCTAAAAAATTATAAAAAGGGACCAAGAAATTTGCTTGGTCCATATCTATAATTTTTGGATCATTATTTATAATATTTTAGTTATTTTGGTAATTTTTGAGATTATTTTCTATAATTTTTTGGTTAACTAAGGCTCAAAGTTAACTTTTGTTAATAATAGGGGGCAACATTGCACCGTTTTTTCATATGCTTTCAGATTTATAGTTTAAGGGTGAAATTGTCCATTAATCCAACTTGTAATGCAATTTCTTGTTCTCCTAAGTTATTAAGACCATTACAAGAATTGTTAACTAAAATATTTTCTTTTGGGATTCTGGCAGCAACGTTGAATAATATTGAAGGTCAGAAGAATTTAAAAGGGAACTTGAAACAGAATGAAATCTTCCTGAGGGATAACATTCCCATTTGGATTGGAACTATCGGATACGTTATATTCTGTGTCGTGTCCATAGTGATAATCCCTCACATGTTTCCACAACTAAAATGGTACTATGTAGTGTTGGCTTACATATTTGCTCCTTCTTTAGCATTCTGCAACGCATATGGGTCAGGTTTGACAGACATGAACATGGCATATAATTATGGTAAAGTTGCACTGTTCGTGCTTGCTGCTTCAAGTGGAAAACAAAATGGTTTAGTTGCAGGACTCATAGGTTGTGGTCTCATTAAATCTGTAGTTTCTGTCTCATGCATTCTCATGCAAGATTTCAAAACTGCACATTACACTTATACATCTCCAAAGGCAATGTTCATGTCTCAAGTGATTGGTACTGCATTAGGGTGTGTAACAGCTCCTCTTAGCTTCTTCATGTTCTATAAAGCATTTGATATCGGAAATCCACATGGAGAATTCAAAGCTCCTTATGCTTTGATCTACAGAAACATGGCAGTTATTGGGGTTGAAGGTTTCTCTGCATTACCTCACCATTGCTTGCAACTATGTTATGGGTTCTTTGGTTTTGCAGTATTGATAAACTTGGTTCGGGATCTTACACCAGGGAAGATCGGGAAATGGATGCCAATGCCAATGGTCATGGCTGTGCCATTTTTAGTTGGGGCATACTTTGCAATTGATATGTGTGTAGGGAGTTTGGTTGTGTTTGTGTGGGACAAAGTTAACTCAAAGAAGGCAGAGTTGATGGTTCCTGCAGTTGCTTCTGGACTTATTTGTGGTGAAGGACTTTGGACACTTCCTGCTTCAATTCTTGCTCTTGCAAAAGTTAATCCTCCTATTTGCATGAAATTTTTTGCTTCATAGGATTTGAGGGATCATTTACATACAAATAAGTTAATAATAGTTTAAGCCATCATGTGTTAAAGAAATTTAAAAAATTAGCAGGTGCATACAGGGAAAATGACAAGTAAGGACCTTATAAGAAGATTAATGCCAAATCAAGATTTTTTTAAAGGATTTTGGTACTGAAACATGGGAGAAGGAGTAATAAATTTGGGAACTTTAGTTTTGAAAAGATCCTAACTTGACATAAATTTTCTTGTGAGGTCCTTGTTTGTCATTCTCTCTTGATTATTATAACATCACAATGCAACGGTTTCTCTAGGTTTTCTTGTCTACTTACACAAAAAGCACTAGGAAACATTATAATTATTTTTATAGAAAGAAGCTAAGGTACCTTTTAATTTTATTACACTAGTCATATAATGTGATATAGCAAGATTCTATGAGGAAGAAAAAATAAGAATGTATGTTTCCTGAGCACATTTCTTGTAATGCTAGCCACTTCATTTCTTATGGATACCATGATGAATAGACTAGTAATAATTGATTAATAAACTAAACCATGAATTTTTTTTCTTTTCATTTTCTTATTGTGATTAAGATGGAAAAAAAAATAAACAACTAATGATAGTTTTATAAAACAAGGTTGACCTTGTCATACTTGCTTTCTTAATCCTTACTTAGCAAAGAAAGTTATCAAAATTGTGAGTTTAAATAAATTCATCATGACAAGTGCATCATGGCGAATGATGGCATAGTGAGGGTTAACCATGATGGATGGTCGTGTTAGCCATAATAAATCCTCTATGTGTTATATGCTGTGGTGTATATGACATTGGTCATGGAGGATGTGTACAATTTTGACTTTTAACCTTGTTTTCAAACCTAATTGTATATGTTTCCTATGTGTAAAGTCCCAACTCAATATGAATTTTACCATTTTCAATCACACAATCAACAAACACAAACACAATAATATCAGAATAATAATCCTTTATTTGTTTTCAAATTGCTAGATTTTGACTTCTTGAAACATATATTCAAATAAGAGGACTAACGGAAGAATAAATATATAATTCAAGACTAAAAAGGCATGAATCCTTTCCTATGTAATGGGCCAAGTGCCATGGCATGTGGTACAAAGCAGCGTGCCCTGCCTCTATCTGTGCCATGTACTGTGGTGTGGCACATTATGTGCTATAGCACACTTTCTGTCATATGATAGTTCAACAAGTGAATTTTCACTTTACACCATTTTCATACCCGACATTTGATCGGAGTAATTCAAGCGCCTACACAAAGCTTACAACTTATACTAACTAATGGAACAATTGGACTTGATTTGATAGTTTGATTTGAAAATTAGACATTTGAGTGTAAAAAGTTACTTTTTCTTTTAAAATTATACTTTAAGTACTCAATTCTCATTCCTTGTCCCATTAGACCATTTCAGGCCTTCAACTAAGTCCAAAATGACCATATATATTTGATTGACATCTCATACCAATATAACACATCACTCAAATTGACCTCTCAATACCACATTACACACTTATGGACTTATATAAGGCATACCATATAAACACATATATTTGCTCCATATTTAACCATATGACTCTTACATATGGGGCTATGCCTCACCATATGATTGAGAATTATAAATATACTAAACTCTTTCAAATGAGGCTCCACCTTACTATTTGTGTTAAGTTCTCACATATATACATAATTTACAATCAATTCACATTTAATACACATTCTTACAAGTGGAACAAGTTACACAATGTCATATACTTGCTTAAATGGCATTTAGGCTTACCCATATACCCTTCATTGGGGAACCCTTAACAAGATGCAACATCATACATATACAAGCAAGTTTTCACAACACAATTCATATACACAATCACTTATGCATCCTAGTTGGCAACTTAAATTTCAATAACATATTATACAGTCATTTTACTCAATAGTAGTCATACCAGTATCAAATGAAGCTACTCTTTCCTCACTTCCTTTTTCAACTTTCTTATGCTTTCTTCACCTGTGTACATAAGTAATGGAGTGAGACATACATTCCATTAACTTGAAGGTAACCCCAATTACCGGTTAGTAAACAAAATCATAAACAAGAGATAAAAGTAGTATGTGTTTTAGTAAAAACAATATCATATACATATACAGAAATCTATTCTCATTTATCTCATCATATTCATGCTAATGTATTCCTGGTTCCACCTAGTGGAGTAATCTCCATGCTCAGACCAGGACTTCTAGTCACAAGAAATAGGGCCCATTATACCATTGCTCAGATCAAGTTATCCTCTTTATATGTGGGTGGTCTCCTAGGTCTATCATGTCAGAGTTAAACTTTATGCTCTAGATCATTAAGACTTCCTAGCTTTATACAGAGTAGGACTATGATCCCTTACCTTAGTTTAAGGTAATCTTGTGGATCATTCCATATCCTAGGTCAATTGTGGTGGAGTCAAGCTTTATGCTCTGGATCATCAGGCTTCTCCTAGGTCCATCCTGGTAGAGTCAAGCTCTATGCTCTGGATTATTAATACTTCTTAGACCTCCTCAGAGCAGGGCCCCTTCCTCCTACCATAATTTAGGGTATACTTGTAGATGTAATACATATCAATGCACATGCCACCTCAAATTCATTTCAATCAATATTCACACACCCACATGCATATTTTTTTACAATACTACTACTCTATCAGTTCACAACACAATACATATAGTTATATAAAAATACTTGTAAATAATTTTACAAATAAACAAGTAAAATGTTTACTCCCGTTACCTTTAACCCTTACTGTTAAGGGTTACCAATCATTATGGATTCCTAAGAATATAGATTCCCATGAGCAACATCACAAGTGCTTAACCTACACAATACAATATCCCTCAGTCAATTCTCAACACTTTATATAAGCATTGATTCAGCTAAACTAAATCTCTTAACACACAAAATGGTTTAATTAACATCTTTTAAATTTACAAGTCCATTATCTATAGTCATTAGCCCTATAAGCTATTCAAATGACCATAACAACCTTTTAAGTCATTTATTTTCCTAATTTTCACCATTTTAACCTAACTTTTAGCTATTTTGAGCCTAAATCCTCAAAGCTTAACCATTCAACTTTATACTAGTCATAAAACTCTAATTTTGTATCTGATAGCCCTTTTTAAACCTTTCTTTTAGATTCTAAAATCTTAAAACTCCCTAGTTTGATTTCCTAACCTTTGAAATTCAATGAAATGGGGTAGAAATAAAGTATAGGGTTGTGTATTTCTTACCTAAGAAGTCACTAACCGAAGCAAACTCTTGGCTCTAACAAAGCAATGCCTTAACATAGTTGACTTCCTCCTCCTCTCCATATTTGTTTTCTACACTTCTCCCCTCTAATTTCACGAGCTGATTATATCAGATTTAAGTGATTTCTATACCATGCACCGTGATGCATGCAACTTCCATCACAGTGCGTGGCATAGTGAGGTCAATCTCACTTGTGTTCACGTGTTATATCCTGAACTGCCATTCTACCCTTCAATCCTATTAACATAACATTTAACCAACACCAATTATTAACTCAACATTCAAACCACGATCACTCTACTAATTACTAATTTACCCTTGATTAGCAACTAGTTTTCTCGGATTGAAATTTAGGCTTGATTTATAAGGGTTTAAATAACCTTTAAACTTGGTTTTTGAAATAAAATCATTTTTGAGATTCCAATTTTGAAAGAGATTTTGTACTTAGCCTTTATCTTAGTTATTTCAACTAAGATCAATCTTTTCTATCATGCTATGTGTTTTAATTATTTCGGTAATGTTAAATTAATGGCTAAGGATATGGGTTAATTGGAAGAGTATTACACATACTTGTGTAATACTCCAAAATGCTTTGTGTTCCATTTCCATTGGCAAGTGGTATTGTTTACCAAAAATAAGCCAAAATAGAGATATTCCAATTAGCTTTTTTAGAGTATCTGATAAGCCTAAATAGCTTCCTCTAGTTTAGTGCTCTAATCTATCCTTAAAGTATTAACCATCTTTTGTAAGATTACTTTGATTTTCATAGAAATTTCTATCAAATCATTAGTATGAGGGTGATAAGGAGTTGATGTTCTAGGTTGCACCCCATATTTTGCAAGTAGAGTACAAATGGTAGCATTGCAAAAATAGGAACCTTTATCACTTAATATAGCTCGAAGAATTCCAAACCTACAAAAGATATGATAGTTGAAAAATTTTGGCAAGAACTTTAGAATCAACTCAAGCAGGCATGTCTTCAATCAATTTAATAACATAATCTACAACAAATATATATATATATATATATATATAAGCAAATCAAAAAGAGGGTGGAAAAGGGCCCATGAAATAATTTCTCAAATATAAAATAGTTTACAAAACATAATAGGTACATGAGGCATTTCAAGTCTTTTTCCCAAATTGCCAAACTTTAATATTTGTCATAGTTATTACAAAATAGACAAAAATCTTTAAAAAGTGTTGGCTAGTAAAATTCATAATCTAGGATTTTTTGAGCCATGCTATGGATATTGAAATGGCCTCCACAAGCATATGAATGAGCATATAGCAAAATAAAATCAACCTCATCATTGGGAATACAACATCTTAAGATATTGTCACTAAACAATCACAAAAAATGAGGTTTATCTCAAACATAATACTTACACTTTTTTTTTATTTTATCAACATGAAACTTAGATAAATGAGAAGGAATAATATCAGCAGCTAGATAGTTTACAATATTAGCAAACTAGGGAGCAATATGCACAATAAATAGACTATCAACCTGAAATGTATCACAAGGAGATAAATGAGAAGTAGAAACATCATCATGGGCCTAAGAATCTTATGGAACTTGAATCAAGTAATATGCAACAACATTAGATGCACCACTCCTATCCCTTACATCTAAATCAAATTCTTGCAACAAGATGATCTACTGAAGTAATCTAGGTTTAGATTAAACCTTTTAAAATAGAAATTTTATGGCAGCATGGTCATTGTAAACCAACACCTTAGAATGAAATATGTAATATCTTCTAATTACTCCACATACTTAACTATATTAATTGTAATCTATCATGGTAATTAGAGAATAACCCATCCTGAATGCTAGACCATGATAGATATATTAACTATAGTCATAAATGAAATTAACCATGGTAGAAAGGGAAAAACTAAATTTGAAAGTCTATTATGATTGATAAGATTTAACTTATCAATTTAAACAAATAAATAACTACTACCATGTTAGAAAATATTCTACCATAGTAGAATAAATTGAAACTCATAAATTAATATATAAATCCATTTATAAATGAGATTTCAAGTTTTACAATAACTAAATTTCCAAAGCAAGAACATAAGTAAATATCAGAGTTCACAAGTATTTGAAAGCATATGATACCAATTATTATCAAAAATT